GAACATCTTCATGTCAGCCGTCAGAACAAAATGGGCGACAATGAGCAACATCCCTGAAGGATCAGGCGGGGAAGAACACTTGAACTCTTTGAAAGCTATGTTTAAGGAAACTTGCCTAACCGTATTAGGAAGGAAGAAGAGGCAAGACAAGGAATGGATCTCGACGGACACATGGAAGCTGATAGAGGGGTTAGGGAAGATGGTGAAGCAGAAGATGAACCAATGCAGTGCATTGCAGGGATAAACAACGAAAAGAGGAACTGAACACAACCTATAAAACACTACACTGGACAAAGAAGTGAAGAGTGCGCACAAAGACAAAAGACACTTCTAAGACACATCGGTAAGTGAAGCAGAACAGGCTGCAGGTAGGAGAGACAGAGACCTGACAACATTGTATCAAACAGCCGGTTTACTATCTGAGAAAAGATCAACGCAGATAAAACCAATGGAAGATAGTGAAACAAACTTAGTTACCAAAGAGGAGAAACAAAGAAAACGATGGGCTGACCACTTCAGAAAAATCTTGAATCGACCACCACCACCACCGGCAACTTGTTCAGAAATACCACCAGCAGCCCAGCCACATATCTATCAGTGAACATAAGCCCTCTGACAAAAGCAGAAGTAAAGTAGTGAACGCCGATTGGAAGAAGGGCTACCCTGTCAAACTCCCAAAGAAGGGAGACCTAAGCCTTCATAAGAACTGGCGAGGAATCATGCTGCTGTCCACCCCAAGCAAAATTTCACGCTGCATCATACCGGAGAGGCTAAACAATGCGCTGGATTCAAATTACGACTGGAACAGGCTGGCTGGCTTCAGGAAGAACAAATCATTTTCCAATCAAATTGCAAAGAGACGCTACGCATCATCATAGAACAGAGCATAGAATGGTAGTCAACTTTCTACCTCAATTTCATCGACTTTGAAAAAACATTTGACAACGTCGACAGGGAAGTAATTTGGCAGCTGCTTCAGCACTACAGTTTTAGTGCCACAAACCACTATCAACCTCATTCACCAGCAGCCATATACAATATGATGCTACATGCCAAGTGATTAACAATGGAAAGCTCAGTGCTTCCTTTGAAGTGAAGTGAAGACAGGTTAACAGGTATCACCGATGATCTTCCTGAATGTTGCAGACTGGGTAATGCAAGAAACAACTGTGAGGAGAGAGAAGATGGGCATACGCTCGCTGTTTGATCGATGAAAAGACCCTAGAAGATTTGTATTTCGCCCGTGATGATTTATGTCGAATGCCTGACGTTGCACAAACTCGAAGATCTACAGGCAAAAGCCAACAAGTTGACAGAAAAAGCAGGGCAGTGAAGATCAGACTTCCTTCAGGTGAACAGAGAGAAGACAGAGGTGATGAAGATACCCAACCAACAACAACAATAAGCACCATCAACGAGAGAAATTGGAAGGAAGTTGCCTCTTTCATCTACTTAGGCATCATCGTTTCGACCACAGGTGGCACAAGCACAGATGACAATGTCAAGGACAAGATCGGAAAAGCAACATAGGCCTTCATGAACCTGAAATCAGTATGGAGATCTACTGCATTGCACTGCACTCACCATAAAGAACAAGATCCGATTTTCAACACTAATTCACTCAAGTCAGTGCTTCTATATGATGGTTCAGAGACTTGGCGTATCACGAAAAGCATTTCCAAGAAACTACAGAGATTCATCAACAGCTGCCACCTGCTCTCGATATTGAAGATAGAAATCAGATGGCCAGAGAGAATCAGCAACAAGGAACTCTAGCTGGCATAAAACTAACCAAGAACCTATCGTCCAACAAATACGCAAAAGAAAGTGAAGATGGATTGGATTGGACATGCACTGAGAAAATCATTCAGGGACAGCACGTGCCAGTCCAGTCCAGGCCGTCGAGTGTAAGCCAAACAGGAAACGACGAGTTGGGCATCCCAGGGTGACATGGAGATGGTGTGAGGAAGGAATGAAAGCTTGTAAGCAGCCGTGGAGCCAGACTGCAGAGAAGAGAGTGAAATGGTGACGTGCTAATGAAGCCCTATGTTCCACTAGGAACCCAAAGGACAAATAATAATAATAATGATCTATCACCAAGACTGAAAATACAAGCAACATCAAAGCATCCACACAGGAGCTCATATTTTAATTGGCAACCGATCAAAAAACGACAAAAATTTACAAGCTCTGAAGTCAAATAGTTAACTAGTTATCGTGTACACAATAATCGTCAGATGACTAACCAGTGTACAATAGGAATGAGTAATACTTACCTGTTCACCTTTTATGAACTGTAGCACTATTCAACTAATGTAATCTCATTCCATAATGAACAAGTTAGGCCTCAAAGCTTGAGCAATCAAATAACCACCAATTAGATTGCCGAAGATTTCTTTAGTTAGTATACTGCCTCATGTCTACAGATACGATGGCTTGATTTGAAAAGCAAATCTTAATTACTAGGTCACAAGTTCAAAGTGATAGTCATATTTAACATTGAATTGTGTCAAACAGTTAATTAATTTTGAGGACAATGGTGATTTGATTTTAAAGGTGGTACTCATCACGGAGAACCGTCGAAAACCTAGGAGCACTGGATAGCTGTATCGTTTTGGCACAGGATTCCGTAACAGTGAGTACCTGAGATCCTGCCAGGGGTCGAACCCAGGACCTTCAGAATTAACAACGAACGTGTGGACTATTGCACTCTGACCCAGCTACTGGATGATTGACCCTTTCACGTTCGATCCCTGGTGGGGTCATAGGTACGTACTCCTGAGGAATCCCATACTAGGACGAAACAGCTATCTAGTACTCTCAAGCTTTCTATGGTTCTCCAAATGATGTTAGTCCATGATGAATCCTTCCTTAAAAATGTAGAAATTCATCAAAATAATATTTACGTCTCACTTAACATCCAATTAGAAGGATCAAAATACAATCAAGTGACTCATTTTTCGTTTGATGTCAAAAATCTTGTTCATTTTTTATCAATCAAATCATCCGGAAAACAATTTTATCTAGTCTAGTTTCGTGTAGTCTGAACAGTTTATTTCATGGTAAGGGTTTAGAATATATTTCGAAAGAAAACATAAATAAATGTATGTTTATGCCAAAAACTGGCTATCTTAATTCTAGTGAGTTATACAAATTGATTTTTATGTATAAAATAGCGGTGTTACGTTGTACACATTCAATTCAAGTAGATCCCTTGAAGTTATTTTCTGCTAGCTGAGTACAACGCTGCATAGACTAAAGATGTACTGTGAATTTGTGAAAGTCACACAGTTATATCAATCCATGATGACGACCACCACGGTAAACTGCTCTTCAGAAATCAATCAATCCAATACTAGTTAGTGAACTGCTTCGAGATAAACTTCATGAAGTTCTAATGAGAGGCCCTAAGCTGATGGGTGAAAAACTTGGGTGTGAGAACAGATACTCACCGATGGTATTAGACGATAGTCACTGTACATCACAAATTGACAGGAATCAGAAAACATGAGCCACTGAATTCCAATCCAGTGAGTGAGTGAGTGACAGATTTTTGATGTCATGTGTTTGAAACCAGTAGTCATGACGTGGAGTCTTAGTGGGAACATCATCTCTCTCTGGGAGGTAGGGACATTCAGCTGATGACTTCTAATTCAGACAAGACGAGCATTCTGGACTACATTGCTAGCCACTATCCATCAATGAGAAATGATGCTCTTGCCATGAGATCTGAACGTCCTATTTTGATCCCTGACAGACTTGTTGGTCTGTACTGCTGAAAAATGCCAAATTAGGATAAAACATATACCCAGTACCGTCAAGTTTCCAATGACTCTCAGGTTGACATCAGGTAACGATTTGAAAAGATACCCTTTGATATATGCAGCAGTTATTGATCATACATTTGGTTAAAATTTCAGTCAAACTTGGAGTAAAAGTAGTCATTTTAGCACGTTATGTAAGAGAATATTAACAATGTTGTCAATTATATGTTCCCTAGGGTTTACTCCAATGATAATAATAATAACAATAACAATAATAACAGCAAACATCACATGCATGATGGTTGTATGCTATTCACCTATTCAGCAATAATATTACAGGTATTAATAACAATAAAGTCAAAATATTTACAGTAAAATAAAGAAAAAATTATTCTAACATTCATTCGTAGACAGTCTGTGTGTAAGTATCTGCCTGCTAAAGTATTCAGTTAACGCAAATATACGATCCACTTGTACTGTTGGAAAGATGGAATTGTAGGAACACTGAACAGGTTTCAGCTCGGTAAACATCATGAACTGAGATCAGATGAAGAAACATTGGAAACCCGAGAGTAATGGGCAGTTGCTTCATCCTAGTGTCAGACACCTCAGCTGTGCGCACCCAATGACACCGCCAGGGATCGAACCCAGGACGTCCCTATTTCATATCGTGAACTGACAAAAATAGGGAATATAGAAAATTGAATTCCAACCCAGTAGCTCAATGGTAATGTACTTGTCGCGGGACCTGAAGGTTATGGGTGTGCACTGCTGAGAAGTCCTATACTAGAACGAAACAGCTGTCCACTGCTCTCAAGTTCCTAATGTTTCACCAACCGGTGTCAGTTGATAATAAATACTAGCCTACACTATCATCATACACTTGACAGATGTGAAATCCATGTCAAACATACCCCGATTTCTGTTCAGCGTATTCAGAAGACTCTTTATTTTTTCCATTATCTTCACTTAACAGGACAGTGTCGTTTACATTATCCAAGTGAGCCATATGACCTCCAAGGAGTAGAACATTCCCTATGAAATTGTATACACCTAAGATTGTGTCTATTAGTACATATATAATAAAATTAAATAAGAACAGTGACAGCGAACATGTTTGATGGAAACCATTAGTTGGTGTTACAACATGATAACTCTCCATAAGAACAGAAATCATCGATAAATAATGAACTTTTGACAACTTGAAATATGAAAAAAGTATTCTTCATCACTTACTCGTTCATGACTTGATACAATAATTGTTCAATTTGTTTCACTGGTTTCTGATTATTACGATTATTGTCAGTGGCAATTTTTAATAATGAATAATTATCATCAAAATTGTTAACCGCCTCCACTTTATTTGGTCTATCATTCGAATTTTGTTCAACACCACCAATTATTGGGTAAATATAGGTAACCTAAAAGGAAAAATTGGATGAAGTTTGAAGAAAAAAAGAAGAAACTTCTAACTGTTATTTCACTGGAAAGTACTTTTGAACGAAATTTGAAGGTACCTCTAGGTCAGAACTAAGTTTCGGGCTTTGTGGTGTTCATCAACAGAAAGTATTCTCAGCTTAGTTGACATTCTTCTTCCGTAACAAATCCAAACCCGGATCACTTACTTTTGAAGTCGGATGATTTTATTGATGGGTGATTTAGAACACTACTTACCTCATCTTTTCCCAGAATATGGTGTACTGCAGCGTTATATTGTAGTGGGTGCTACTGATAGGAATGCATATAAGTAGTATAAATCGAGAACTCGGAAGAAGTCATAGGCAATTACGAACGATGGGTAAATACTATATCTGTTGATATACAATCGAAGCTCAGCCACCTCCTCCTGAAGGTTATTGAGTTGTTTTCCCCAATTATATACATCTGATGACTCCACCACAGCTGCTCCTGTACCCATCACCTGTCTGGTCACCTTCACCAGCTCACTAATACCCATGGGTTGGTCTGGGTTCACTAGTTGTAGCTGCTGGGCAATGGTATTTGAGACACTTTTGGTGAACTGCAAAGCCAACAACTGTGCCTGCGAGTCCCCATACAGAGTAGGAAGTCCCGGTGGAAGTAGATTTGTCACCTTCACGGCCAATACCAGCGGATCCTCCTCTGCCCATGTTTCTTGCCCCGGAACTGCTGCATCGCCAGCTCCCTGTCAGTTGGGCTGTCAAACTCCGCCTCTAGTCGTTCAACTATCCTATCCCAAATCTCCTTCTCATCCACGCGTTCTACGCTATCATATGCCTCTTTCGCTCGACCCCCTGAGCAGCGAGCCAAGCACTGCGACCTTAGCTTTCTGGACACCCCCCAACTCCATGATCGACTGAAAAATCCCTGAAAAAGTCCTTAATGTCTCCATCTTCGAACACTGCAGGTCATGGAACCTTCATTGCATCCAGAAGCAGAGACACCAACTATAAGAAAACGGATAACGATGAACCGCAGAAGGATGATTATGACAATGATGAAATATTGTAACCTTTCGATTGAAATATTCATTTGTACAATATGTTTCGTCTCCCCTTCATCTTCTGTCTCATTTTCCCCCTTGATACGCCCACATCACCTTGAGGATTTCCCCGTGTCCAATATTTATCCATCGCTCGTACTTGCCTATGACTTCTTCAGACTTCTCAATATATACTACCTATATGGATCCTTATCAGTATCCACCATAATATCCCTTGGTATGCTGAAAAAAGTGAAAGACTGGCCGAAGAATTTCGACCAACACTTGGAAAACCAATGTCCACTCTGATACCACTCGCCAAACCGACGTATTTATAGTAAATGCATATTTCACCTTACATGTCAAAGATAGGCAGAGAGACAAAATTAACATATGATCTAGTATTACTGTGTAACGGTTCGAGTCACTACACCCGAAATCAACAAATCAAGTGGGAATGCTCTTACATAAAAGATAAAGAAAAGTAGAGAGGAAAGTAGCTAAAAGTGGTAGAAAGCTATCAAAAGAGAGCAAGGAAGGATGAAAGGATACTGAAATTTCCTTTGATGATTAGGATCAGTTAAATATTTAGATACATCCACACCACCAAGGTCGAGTCTTAGCCATATCATGTAGAGTCTCCAGTTACCGGTCTCGGTTGCCGAATAGAATCCAACCAGGAGATCTGGATTTCTCTGTATGGCTCTGACCAACAGTCAGAAATTTCATGAACTGAGAAGAGATAATGAACAAGCAATACCACAGATAGGAGCGAATACAAGCAGTAAACTGTCTAAACTACAAATACTTATGTACAACCTGTTTGAGAGAGAATTGAACTACAGAACCAAAAATGTGAATTAACTTCATTTCTATACATTGTTAGAGTCCTTATCAAAAGCATAAGCGAAGTGATTGATTCGATTATCTGATATAGGTGAACCAATCACGACAGTGCAAGGTGTAAGCACACTCAGATTGCTACATTGGTTGATCACTGTGGCTTCCTGAAGATTGCCTCCAATCAACTAATAACCATCAAAGTGTACCGCAATGGTGGGCATCTTAGTTTGGTGTTTACATTACAAAACGATTTACAGGATTCAGTCTACAAGCAAAGATCTAATTCCAGTTTCACATGATGATGTTAACCATTTCAAATCAACAGTTTTTTAATTGATGTCTTGAATATATAAATAGAAAATTCAGTCATCTATATCTTTTGTCAAAAGAACATCGAAACGAATTGAATAGACTGAAGAAAAATGGAAATTTGATCATGAAATGCCAGCACAAAGGCTCCGGAATAGTACTACTAAACAAATCAGATTATTTGGAAAAACTTTCTTAAAACAGACAAAACAGAAAGATCCTACTGAGCAAATACAGCTGCAATTGTCGAAAATACTGGAGAAAATGAGAGATGAATCATTCATCACCAAAGAATTATATTAACAACTTCACCCATCAGGTTCTACGATCTCCCGTTTCCATAGTCTTCCCAAAATACACAAAGAAGGCATTCCACTTCGGTCAGTACTAGATAATGATAGACTTTCTATATCATTTAATCGCGAAATAACTTGTGGAAACACTTAAACCTGTGAAGAAGAGGCTAATGAACCACAGTCTCCATGACATGTTTGATTTCCTCAAGTTGATATTCATCGTAGACTGATATCAGTTGGAGTAATCATGAGAACCTGGAAGCACTGGACAGCTGCTTCGCCCTAGTATGAAACTCCTCAGCAGTGCGCACCCACGGCCCTGCCAGGGGTAGAACCCGTGGCCTCCAGGTTCGGTGGCCAGCACGTTACCATTAAGCCACTGGGTCACACCAGTTTACTTGCTCTTGTGGAACTAAATACATAGATCGTACCATTCGTCCGCTTGTAAAACGTACACACGAACACTACCCAGTCTAGCTGGCAAAGGGAGAACGGAAGTGTATCTTCACTTCAATAACAGAACACCTCATGAATTCAGGTCACTTAGCTCATTTCGAGAGCTCATTTAAAATCCTCTACAGGGTTCGATCAAACTACTCTAATGGAGTAAGATCAAGGCATATGTCTATAGCTGAAGTACTAGCCATTTACAACTCCAAACCAGAATTGTGTCTTTGAAATGGCTATCATAAGGCCTAAAGTGTTATAGATTCATCCTGTATTAGATAACTGTACATGTATTTTCATAATCCTTTGTCTATTTTCCCACTCTAAACCCAAACGTGTATTAATTAACTTCCTTTAGATATTCAATATATTTTACCCCCTAACCGGAAATAGTTCTGAAACATTCTGTCCACTATAACATATATTCACGAATGTACAGCTTAATAAATGACTGCGTCGAAAATAAAATTTTTTTCTTCACTATAACAGCGTCTTGTCTCTTTCTATGACCAAGATTACGCCTACTACAACTCCTTAAATTGTACCATATAATCTGCTATTCAGCTGACCTACAGTAACAAGTCAATATAAATTGCTTTATATTTATTTAATTTTGACATCAGACTTACCTGTTTATTATTCATCTGGATAGGTTCTAAAACAGGAAAGAATAAAAGTAAACGAAGTCGCTTATTTTAATGTCGAAAAATTCGACTATATCATATATAGAAAAGAGAATAGATAGCTAGACAAAAGTCTACAATAAGATAAATAATATCTATATCAATGATTGTAAATATATGACCGATTTTTAATTGGGGTAAGAAGCCACAGATAGGCAAGTATTGTGGTATTAAATGCTACGTGCTTCTAATTCACATGATAGCTGTGTAAAATAGTTGTGGCAATAAGATCTTGTAGCCAATTGTGTTTCATATATTAGTAAAAAAAAAACACGTGCTCTCGATAATCTTCAAGCTTCGCGTTCTACTTCAACCACAATTTTGGCTTTCTATCAACTTTAAGCATCATTCTTGAATATAATGTCGGTTCGTAAACGTAATAAAAGTAGACTTTTCAGACACAAGTAATAAATGTAGTTTGAGGTTTTATTTTTAAGGAAGCATTCATCATAAGCTGATATCAGTTGCAAAACCGCTGAAAATCTGGGACTACTGAACAGCTCCTCCATCCTGGTATGAGACTCCTGAGTAATACGTACACATGAGCCCGTCAGGTCCTAAGTTTGGTCAACATCAGATTTGTGAGCGTGTGCTGCTAAGGAGTCCCGTACTAGGACGAAACAGCTGTCCAGTACTCCTAGTCCATGATGAATACTACCTTAGAAGTAATGAATACTGCGACAGAAAACTCCACAGTGAGTAAGATTATGCTTTACAAGCATGAATGCATGTTACTTATGTGTAGGGAGTGGAATAATTTCAGTAATTCGGCTCATGTAGGTTATCATCATTATCTAATATTCTACACACAACGAGAGTTAGTAAAGCTAAAAGTTTCGCCTTTCTATTCCACAATTCTCCATCCGTATGTGCGTTAGACTCCTTTTTTGATAGGGATGATAAGCCGTGCACCAAATAACCTTCTGACAATTGGGTAGGTCAGAATCGATTTCAGGTTAGTTACAATTTCACAGAAAGCTAAAAATACATACTGGCTAAGGCTTTTGAATTAAGTCACGATATTCATTCAGCATAGCCTGACTTTTTACAAGTTGCTTAAGAAAGCTACTTCCAAAGTGACACTTCTCATTTGTCTATGCAGCTAAGAAATGAGAAGACTAGAGATGATTGGTAGATTATTGTCTGATGCTGAAACAGTATTGATTACTTTCGTTGGGATCAGCGGTACTAATCAAAAAAGGGATAAGTGTAGGGGACAGTTGGCTTATTGGCATTCATTAGCAAAGCGTATCTGAAACCTTGAAGGAACTGATGTCCCCTCTGAGATTCAAACCCATGCAAACTGGTGTTGCAGTTAGCGACAAGTTATTCCGACTGCTACTGATTTCTTGTAGAACTAGACTGCATACATTAGTTGGTTACTGTAGAGCAACTAAACACATGCTATCTAGTACTCAATGCTGACCAACTTGTGTGTCATACATCACAAATGCACTGCGATTATGAGCTGTCTAGTTTGATGGCTCCACTACAAAACGATCGATAGAATTCGGTGAACACTCAGGACTAGACAACATGCATTCAGTTCATCGCAGTGACCACTCAATGCAAATATGAATCTTCTCAGGGTTCACCACCTACTGCGGATTGACTCGTAATACTGAAGAAACTTTATACCCTCATCTAAAGACACGTGGGGACTAGTTATTTATTTCGATTATTCAATCCATTCATATTTCGGTAAAACCTACCACAGTTGTGCCATTTTAATGTCAAAACAATCTGCTTTATATAAAGTCTTTAGCTGAAAGTGGTCGAAACAAGAATCGACATTTTAATTCACTGGGTACTGAGACCTTCCAATTTATACTATTGTGTAGCCAAGGGAATCACAGTGGACAGTCTGGGCTTTTTAGTGAACCAATCAGAAGAAATTACTCACCTGCTTTTCTCCTCTATAAATGCGTGCATGAAACTTCTGTATATAGTCATGTATTCTTGCCTAATAAAGCGATTCTCTTGGTCAAAGACAAACCATTAAATTTTTGGGGGGGGGGAGAGACGACGAACCAGTGCTCGCTATCAGTTCAAGCTACTTAGTTCTACACTATTGTTACTGGTACCTAAGTAAACTTACTTCAGTCGACGATGTGTACTTGTTGTGATATGAATGAACAAAGAAGAAATCCAACCATCAATCTTGTGTATATTAGTGCACTAAGGAATGAGCTTCACCTATTTTGTGAAAAACAATGATACTACCTGGCTGCCTAAACCTAGTTGGTACGGAAACTGGGGCTCGAACCCGTGACCCACTGGTTAAAAGTCATCTCCCTAAACCAATGAAACAGCTCCATTGTAAGCATATGATCTACTAGTTACAGCTAACAATACAGTCTACTATAACTTTTTAGACATACCAGTTGGTCTGGATGGATCCTGGGTGACTAATTGAAAGACTTAGTGACAAAAATTTTTATTTTTATTTTCGGTTAAAAATTAATTGACATTTGTGCATTCTATAAATCTACTCATAATAAAGATAGCAGTTTTGGTTATTTTATGGATTGGGATGTGTTTTGTCGAATTAAGAAATACAATATAGAATATATGCTAAAAATGCCGTATCGGATATCAGCTCAATGCTTTTATTCTTCTCACCTATTCAATAAATCTTTAAATAGGTAGTACTAACTAAAACATTGATTTTACTGGTTAGTACAACACCGAAAAAGTCTTCTGCACACTTCAAGACTGACAGTATTCATTGCTGTATTGCTTCAACGATAACCAGTGTTTAAGTAACACTAACACAGAGTGACCAGTACCTTCAAGTAGGAAGTCTTTCAAGGTTGATAAGTCTTTTGATCAAGAAACTTTTTCACAACTTTACACTTATTTACCAGTTGAGGGATGCTTGAAGAAAACGGTTATCCGAGCCGACTTTTTAATAAGAATTCTGTGAGAAAAACACACAAAATCAGTCATCAGCTCAGTTTCTAAAAACACTTTGTTCATGAATCTAGAATTTAAAGGTGATGCAGCTTAAGACATCCTGAAAAATTATCTTCCGAGATCAATTAGCAGAAGTTTTTTTCTCAGCCAGACTTTATTTGATCATTACTAGTCATAAATTGTGTAAAAGACAAGCCAATTACATGTGTATCTACCAGTCCATCTGCTCCTGTGGAGGGAAATTATATCCAGTACAGAATAAAATCTTAGAAAAAGAGTAATTTTAAAAGCTTTTCAAGTGATTACTCCCCACATTTCTTTGTGAATAAAACGAATGCCCACTGATTCAGTATTCAGTCGACTACTATACTTGGCGCTGCTATCCCATAAGACGAAAATAACACTGGGTACGGCGATTAAGATGAAGATAATGTGGGGCATACAAAAGAGATGATGAGATCGATTCTCAGTCATATCACCTAGAGTCTCTAAATATCAGTTTCGATTTTCACACCAACCAAAATGTAGAAGTCTACACTTCATCACACTACTCAGACCAACAGTCAAAGAACTCAGGGACTGATACCATGTTTTAGTGTGCCCACCTCTAGCCTTTTTCCGGTTTGAACAAACTTTAGCAAACAGTAGGTGACGGAGTAGAAGATGGTGACTAGGCATTCGTAATACATGCCCCAGCCACCTCAATCAATGAAGCTTTACAGCTTTATCAACTGACTTTTCTCTTCTCCCTACAATTTTACATGTGACTTCCACGGTAACGTGACATTGCCCTGTGATACAAGGGCAACGTTAGTTGAAAGCGCAAAGCCTTCTCATGTCCTCTAACTTTATCGGCCAAGTTTGACAGTCATATGGTAGAACACAGAGAAATGCACTGCAGTACAACCGAGTTTGAATATGCAATCGTATATCACAGCGGCTCTGTGTATAGCGTATGTTGGAGAAGGTCAGTCGAGCCTTTTTCATCTGAGCAGAGACTTCGTAAGTCACTAATCCACCAGGTCTGATGTGACTTGCTAACTGATTAAAGTAGTCAACGCGCTCCATCCGTTCACTTCTTATTAGCATACAATCCAACTAAACATAAAAACGGTAAGGCGTATTTCTTGGCTGTAATACACTCCATATTCACTTGTAAAGCTTGTCTAGATAGTTATTCATTCCATATGACAAGAAAAGCGATATATCTCAATGTGATAAACAAAGTGAAATCAGTTCTAACAACTTAATCTCTATGATCTGAAGATTCGTATTCATTCGATCCCTAAGTGGAACTGAAGACTAAATTAGAAAAAAATTCAAGCATGCGCAACAGGGCAATAATCAAATCTCTATCATTATTCTGCTTTTAGTTCATTGGTAAATTTAACAGTTTTCAGTGTCTGCAATTTTTCACCATCTAAGAGGACTTCAGTAACACGTAGTTACGAATTGAGTACATGGAAAGCACGTTATGTTAACCACGGCATACATTTCTCTTAACAATTGAGATGATGACAGACAGTGATATTGACCAAAGAAGTCGGCTATCGAAACCCTCATTTAACTTATAAACATCTAGACCAATAATGTTATGAATTTCGTGGGGAAAAAACTTAGCACTGAGTCTGATTTAATCATTATATGAGTAAGGTTTAATATAATCCCAGCATGTTTATAAAATCAAAACAAGATTTTTCCGTTCAAATAAAAAAACATACACCGTAATTTAACCTTACTGAAAACATACAGCTCAAAATGATCAGCTTTATCGTCAATCACTTACGGACTGTTTTTTATGAGATTCTGAAAGACTAGGAAGTTATTGCTAGAAATTGATCATATATAGACGTGCACTTGGAAAGGTGATGAAATTCTTCTTCGAAGAAACATTACTGTTCATAGTGAGTAAATGCGGTTTACAATGATGATAGATCATGGAACCGATACTCATCATAGACTAATGTAACAAAGTGTTCAGTCTGTTAGTAATTTGAGAGATTTTAAGGCGAACAAGAATGCTATTCGATGAGAAAAGTACTTGA